AATGGTCAATCATCTCATCTTGTTAAAACATAAACTAAACCAAGCATTTTGCCTTGTTGAACAGGAATGAATAGGCAAATAATGATGACCCTACTAAGCGTTCACATGCAAGAGAACACAAACCAATTAGAAAGAATTGAAGCATATTCCACAGTGAAAATGTAGCAAAGCTTTGAATTTGATGTGAAATGTCCCATTGCTTTTGTCAACCTTTGAGTTAAACATAAAATAACAAAAAACCCCATGCCCTCTAATCTCGTCTTTTATCCTTCCTTTCCGTCATAATTCCCAAAAGAAATTAATAAAAAAAGCCACTTTTTTATTTTCCCATGTCCTTTCAAGTAGTCATTGCTTAATTTGCTCTCCATATCCACTAATCAAACACTCATCAGACGTATTCATACCCTCTTTCTTGTTAGATTATTTAAATATAAGTGAACTTAAACTAACATATTAAGTCCACATAAAATAAATTAAATTTAATAAGTAATATATAATAAAAGAAAATAATTAATAAATTAGACTCTTAAATTTTGAGTTAATAGTTAATATATAGTATTCTTCAACAATTACTTTCAATTCTTAACAAATAATATCAAAATCAAGTTTATATATAGATTATCCACATCTTTTCTTCTTTCATTTGTTCGGCAGCTCACAATTATTCATACTTAAATTATTTATCAGCATTTTTAGAGAGAATATTTTCCTGGTGTGAAAGCTTGAGATTCTCTTCTTAATTATAAATTAGTTAAGATGTATATGTGTGTTCATTAATTAGGGTTTGCTGGAAGTCTCTGAATGCTGGTGCTAAGTCTTTGTTTACTAACAAAATAATAGAGGGTGTGCTTCATTTTTGTCATATTCTTTTGCCCATAATCATATTTTCCGTACCCACAGTTACTAGCTAACTAACATATATTTCTTCAATCAAGATTATTTTTTGGGAAAAGTAATTAATATATAAATTCATAAATTAGTTTGATCTTGCTAAATTAAGCTCATAATAAAATTTAGACTGATCACTTTAAATCATGTGGAGTTGAATCAAACTTCAAGAGTCAAATTTGCAAGAATTGGACTATTAGGCCAGACAGTCACCAAGCTAAAGTGATACTTGATGTGATACTCAATTTGTGCTTCTTTGATTTTCTTTAATAAATTAAATTATAAGCTATATACTTGTTTAAAATTGAGATAAGTCACACTATTCATAGCTTATTAATAACGCAATTTATTATAAATTTTATATCGCACATAGATACTGTTGTTATAATTTTTACTAATTATAAGTATTTTTTGACATATGATTATATATTCATGTGTGTGTGGTTACTTTGTGACTTTGGATCATATATGATATTGTTTTCTCTTACTTTTAAGATATTTTATTTTTTAAAAAAAATGAATAAGTAATATGTATATTTTTAACTTTTTTTTTTGGCCAAAGTATATATTTTTAAATTGAGCACACAATTTTCCTCTCTGTTTTTTTTTGCCAAACAAATTTTCCTCTTAATAATGGGTTTTATTCAAATATGAGAAAGCATATGACTTATCCAATAATGAGTAGCTTGAATTTAGGTTATTAATTATATAATAACACTTGATTTAGATGATGAAAAAATCAAAAAAAATCCTTGAGACTTTTAGATTAAAAAAAAAAAAGGAAAAAAAGCCTCTATATATGTTGTCATATTAAATGGTATACTTAGCTTGGTAGGCTTCACAACCTCCATAATGCCTAATTGTCTTTATTTGGTTTTATGGTTGTCAATTCTAGCTTCCCTGTTCTATTATTATGTTATATTAAGCTCTTTAAACTTTTATAATTATTGAAATCTCCTTTATCACCTTTTTTTTTGGTATTGTCTTTTTAAAAAAAAAAATAATAAAACTCATTCCTTGCCTTATGTTCTTGTCATTTAGGCCAATCCTTCCTCTTTTTTATTTTATATGTCCGTGTCTGGAAAAATCTTCGATATTAATTACTACCACTCGTCTGAATTAATTTAAATTTTTACTATATGAACTGATCTTACTAATGGCAACATGGAATCATGCATGATTAACTTAAAAATGTTTTTAATATTTTTATTTAACGTGATTACATGTTATAAAACTCAAACACGTATTTCAAAATAAACAGATACAAAGACCTATTCTTCCTCTATTATCATCATTCTTTGTAGGATTAGGACATTTATAGGGTCCCAAACATGACTTGCTCTTATTAATTAATAGTAATTACAATGATAATGACTAATTTCTCTCCAAGGCTTTTCTATAGTCCTCAAGCTAACTATTCAATGATTTGATTTTGATTGCTGAGAATGACATGACAAGCCTTCAATCTTTGCTATCACCGCCCGTGGATTAGCTTTAGCTAATCCTCATGGTATTTATCTTCGCAAAAAAAAAAAATAAAATTCTATTTTGTCATGAATGTCAGCCACAAATATTTGATAAAGCATGTCATCTAGAGTGTGTGAAAATTTATTGTGATCAATCAAACAAAAGTACGCAAAACTTCTAGTAATATGTCATCGATATAAGACATAAAACATATAGTAAATCAATTTATTCATAAATTGTGATGAATAGTTTATCCAAAATAATTCCGTCAATTGTTATTATAAGATTTTTCTTTAGGAGTTTTATTTGATTCCAAATATAAAACATTTCATAAAATTTAATTTAGGGGCAAAAATAACTTAAAATTAAGTTTAATACACCCCCAAACCCTACAAGAAAAGTTTAAAAACAAAAATAACTCTTTTAGATAAAGATAATGACATCTCATTGATAAATAGTATCACAATCCTTTAGTATTCATGGATCAATAGGCCTCATTGTTAATACCTTAATTTGCTTATTTTAATAATATAACCATCTACAATCACATTATGAATGGAGTTATTATTATTTTTGTCTATGAAGATTCTTTTTGGGATATTATATATCAAGGGTATATACAATATTTTTTAAGGAGTAGAGACCATAGAAGTGGGGTTTACCTCTTTCAACATTGTCTTTCTATATATATATATATATAGGTAAGTTATTGGAAGCAATCATATTCGAGATATGATATAATTACATACTAAATATAGATACTTCTTTTATAGAAATTCAAACTTTAATTCATTTTATTATGACTTGTGAGAAATTAACCTCTTCCATTAAATTCAACTCCATTGATAATAATGTCTTTTTATACACATAGAAATCGAACATCTAGCAACATGCTTCAGGGATTCAACTATCTACCAAATATACCAAACGTGCCGGACCTTGTTGGTTGTTTGCATTGTGAAGATTCTAAACTTATATTAAGGTATTCAAAACATTTTTTTAAAAAAAAATGGAATGTATTGCTTTAAAAATATGATGGTCTTTAAGATTATTTAGAAATAAAATTTAGTGAGAAGAAGATTTAAAAATATTTCTGATAAATAAGTAACGAAAAGAATGGAATATATATGGTTATAGTTTTACTTTTATAATGCATAGAGGGATTGTTGATTAATCATGAGGACCAAAAGAATGACAATGGACCAGTGGGGTTGAGCGATTACGTGCCGTGTTTGTAAGATATTGTTGTTGGGTTTGTTATTGTTATCACATATATAGTTCAACTTTCAATGTTATGAGATCGATCATCATCATCATTTTTCTTGATCTTTAGTACGTCTGAATTTTCCAAGTTATTAATCTTTCGTTTTCACACTAGACATGCACTCTCTGTTGTTTACAACAACAAAATTATTTTTCACCAAATTCTTAGGCTTTTTATTACCATATTAGTAACATGATTTGAATTCTCATACTTGTAAAAGTATGGATTGTATCCTTGCCAATCAGACTGTTGCCAAAGAGAATCAATTTTAAATCAATCAAAAAGAATATATGAATTAGATCTTCATAAAAAAGTTATGAATTATATCCTTGTCAATCGGACCATTGCGGAAGGAAACCAATTTTAAATCAATGAAAAGGATTTGACAGATCAAATTAGTATCTACATAAATTATTAAAAACAAAATCTTATATGCTTAACCAGTGACTAATTGGCTTTATATGTTGAGACTAGTATCTAATTGGTGGATTCCAACCTAAGAGATCACAGTATCTAATTGGGTTGGCAGTTGTAATTTAATTAAAAAAAATTGATCACTAGGATTAGGTTGATTAGATGGATGTGATCACAAATATTTTAGTGTTTATATTGGAAACGTCCATCATCATGCATGAATGATGCATAAACTAATTGAAAGATGTGTATGGAATTCTTCATTATTTGGCAAGTAAGCTTTCTATGCGTATAAGTGACAACACGCATTTTTTTGTTATAATTGATATTGATGTCTTATCAAAATAAACGTTTTAATTAACATCGTAATCCTTCTAAATTGAACCATTTGTTGAACTTAGAAATGATCCGATAAACTCCCTCTGGTTCATAAGACATTGGCATGGTAACTATTCCATGGCTTTCCAAAGAAAAAATAAATTGAAGCCTTAACATTTAAAAATATATATTTTTTTTAATTACATTCTCATTAAATTTCTATATAAATGTCTTGATAATAATAATTGAAATGTCACTGAATTTTTTTAAAATAAATAATAAATAAAATAAGAGTAAAATTAGAAAAACAATCATAAAAATTACTTAATATTTTATATTTAAACCAAACAAGGGTTATAAAAAATGTCAAATATTGTGGATAGGACAGGAGGGAGTAAATCCAGAAGAATATAAGTGCAGGTCCTCGGGTCATGAAGAGAATATAAGTACGCATTTGCCAGATGAAATTATTGCTTACAATACGACATCAGAGGCTCTGAATTTAGTCGGTTTGGAAGATGTGCGGCGTCCAAAACTAAAGTGAAATTCATCCTTATCAACTAACTAATCATGTGCACCGAAAAGCATAGTTTTATATTCAATGTTGGCGAAGGCCTAATACTTGCTAACGTTAATTTCTTGCAATGAAGGATAATAATATATTCATATTATGGTCGAGCAGTCATTATATATATATATATATATATATATAAAGAACAAAAGATATTAATTACACATGCGAGTAACTTCCACTTTTTCCCCTATGCTTGTATAGTATGTGATATATGATCAACTATAAACTGAAACCAAACACAATAGTGTTAAAACCCCATATAATACCACACGTCCGATGCATGTTGAAATCGAATTTTTGACATCATGTTCGCTTTCACTACAAATATAAACACGAGGACTGGATATAAGAATCACAAGCTCCTTGACACATTTAGCAACCATGGAAATCTAGTCGTTTATTATGACCTGGATGAGCAAAATACATTCAACATGAATGACATAGCACAACCAAAACTAAACCCCCTGTTGTTTACGCAAAAAGAAAGAGAAAAAAAAAAAAGCCTTGAAGAGAGAGAAATTCCGAGAACTTGCGTAAGTCTCACACTGAAAGAAATTTCTTTCATAACTAAATACTACTGACCAGCACTGAAATTTAATTTATGGTACACTTGCCTTCATCTTCTTTCAAAAAGGTACTTCGGCCGGCTCTAACACGGGCAATAATGGTTCTTGCAAGTCAGGGTTGACACGAAACAGATTACACTGAGCATATTGTGCCATCAATTGATCCGCAAGAACCAAAGCTACCATGGCTTCTACCATGGGTACAGCTGCATTAACAGTCAATTAAAAAATGTATCAGAAAGTGCTTTTTCTCCAAGCGAGAGTGGTGTAAACAAAAGGTGAAAATATGCCATGTTACAAATCCTAATCATCCTGTCTATTAGTTTGTCCATAGAAGAGAGTTGTCACTAAACAAATTTATTTTCCCTTTCAAATCATGTGATAATTCACCTTTCAGCAAACCTGTCTTGACAGCTTTAATAAATATATAGAAAAATAAAAGGAAGTATGACTTTTAGTCCTTGAACTTTTTTCTCAACTATTGATTCAATCCATGAACTTTGACTCAAAACAACTCAGTCTTTATAGTTTCTTGATTTGGTACAACGTAGTCCTCATAATTTCTGAACTCAATAAACTACAAGAATTAAATTGTACTAAATCAAAATTCAGGAATTAAATTGATAATGGAAAAAAGGTTTAGAAACTAAAATGTATATAATCTCAAGATAAAAAATTAAAGCGTAGACCGGAAAGACGAAACAAGGAAGACAGTTATTTACCTCTAGGGACAACACAAGGATCATGGCGACCACGGGCTATTAGCTCTGTTTCTTTCTTATCTCTGGTCACCGTATGCTGTTTTTTCTGCGCAAGTGGCAAAAGGTGTCACATTTTCTATCACATGTTAAGGACAGTAAAATGATATATTGAACAAACCACTCAATCAGCTAAAAAAATGGGGAAGGAAGAAGGGGTAGAAATGGCTTCTTTCGTTTCCATTTTATTGCCTATAGGCTGTGGTCACTTCATTTATTTCGTCTACAATATAAGTTATGAACTCATCGCTAGGGAACAGTATTGAGTAAATCAATGTATTGACAGAGAAAATTACAAACTCTTCTAACGTGGTATTTTCTCTTAGCAAGTCAAAAGCATGGTTCGACACTTTCACAACACTATATTTACCATATAAATGTAATTTGAAAGATATTAATCAAAACAATTGTGTGCCTGTATAGTGAACTACAGACAGTGCTTGGACGCACAACCATGCTAGTCAGAAGCATACCTTAATACTCCCATTTAAAACACAAAAATCACTTATTTTACTACATTAAGTTTTTCTGTATGGTAAAATCAGCTTAAAGCGCTTCAAGGCATTATGCTTTTGATGCCTACTTTTATTCTTTGCCGATATTTTTGTTTCGTTAACTTTCTGTTTTACTTGTACAAGTCCATCCAATCAAATCCAAATTGTTCAACAAAACATTAAAAATAATGGCATTGTCAGCTTATTCTTTACAGCATTTTATAATATTTGAAGCTGCTACGTAGTATATAGCTGTGAGGTTTAAAATCATCGTCTGTGATGCTTAAATCAAGATGCTAATCCATCAACCCTAGATGCATGGTAGTAAAGAGGTGCTATCAAGCTACACTGACCCCAACCGCTTTCAACTAACTCTCCCTTCTAATAGCCTTGTGCACATTTATGTTTTAAGTATGAGTTTGCACTTCAATGCGAGTGAGGTGAGTGAGACTAGATTCACAAGTACAGAAAAAACAAATATTTGGCTTACTCCAATGGTAGATGTTGGCTTGAAAGCTACTCTCATGTTTATGATCTCGCCATTGGAAATTCCACCCTAATTGTCAATACAGATAATATATTAGCAAGGCATATATTATTACATGAACATCATATTGCAGACAAAGAAACACCCAAGAAGTTATAGAACATAAGACATACCTGAATGCCACCTGAGCGGTTAGTTCTTGTTCTCATCTTTCCTTGTTCATCTACATAAAACTCATCATTGTGTTCACTGCCAGTTAAAAAAGTACCTGTAATGGTTCCATTAAGCCATCAGAATGCCTATGATACGAGCACTGAAGGAAATTACTAAACTAATGTCTATTCATTTAGATAAGTCTGTAATCTTAAAAGGACAAAAGAAATAAGAGCGATATATAAGCAAGTTGAGCAACCTGCAAACCCACTGCCAAACTGGAAGCCCTTCGTCGCAGGCAGTGACATGATAGCTTTAGCCAGTTCAGCTTCAAGTTTGTCAAATACAGGTGAACCAAGCCCCTGATAAATAGTTATGTCAGTTCTCCATGGGGAAAAATAAAAGATAAATTTAATGATATGACACAACATTGGAAACAAAGTCTTAAGTTTGAAAAGATAATTCTTATAAGGTGTCAGACATGCAAGAAAACAAACACATCAATGCAAGGACATTTCAGAATCATGCAAGTTACTAAAATACCAAATATTAGGGCCAGAAGATGTCTGATAAGACCCCATCACTTGTCAATGTCAAAGCTCACAAAAGGAAACATAAAAGAATGGCAAAAGGGCAGAAAAGATGGGACTATTGGTTTCAAGGAAAATCCAATGGCTAAGGACCAATTGAGGCAGAAAAGTAGTGGGGTGAAACTAGGTAGTGTTTTGACAGGGGCAACCTACTTTTGGGCTCTTTAAATATGTATGTTCATGTAGATGGAGGTTGTGGAGTATTTTGGAAAATGGCGGTCAAGTGAGGAGAGTTCTAGCCTCTCGAAAGCCAGATTGGGGTTCGAGAAGATCACCTTTCTTCATCATTTTATTTTTATATTTTAGTGTGCATTATTGAGTGGCTTGTGTTTGCTTCATCCTTTGATCTTTCTGCCTAGTGGGTGTTACGAGTGAGTGAGCAGCTTATGTTTTGTGATTCTGTTCTGTGGGTGTATTTTTTGCTGTTTCTCTGTAACTGTAATTTAAGTGTATGAGCTTATGAGGGAGATGAGATTAACTTGAATCATTATTTCTCTTGTAATCCAATTTAGATATTCAGTAACAGTATTTTCAGTCCCATTTGAAGTGTATTTTTCTGGTTTTTGCTTGTTTAAAGCTTGTTAGAATAGAGGGTCCTATCAATGTCAAGGGATTAGGCAATCATAACTTCATTTCTATTAGGGGTAACAAAACATGCCACAAATGGAAGGAAGGATCTTAAGTTCTGCTAGTGCAAGATGGCTATAGGCATAGCAAGTCGAGGTGCAATTCAGGCCCGAATTCCATTTTATTCCAGACTTTTCAAAGGTTTTTAGTCACATGCCAGAAATTTATGGATTTCCAAATCAATTATCAACCAAGACCATAGGTGTTTAATTTCAAACTAAACAATGTAAGCCCAGAACATCAGCTTGACAAAAAAATCCTAAATTTTCTTAAAGATATTTATTTATTTTTATTAACAGTTTAACTATGCTTGAAATCCTACTAATTAGCTTGCTCAGACATTTCGCTTGAGGCCTTGATAGAAAATATGAAGAGATACTTACACGTGGGCAATTCCTCACAATGCATGTTACAACTCCACCAACAGAATCACCTTTCACCCGGACAGCATCAACAGCAGCTATCATCTTCTCTGCATATTCTGGGTTGGGGCATCGGACAATGTTACTTTCAATCTGGACCAATCTCCAATAAGTGGCAAACAATTTCACAATTAAAAAATAACAAACAACCATAAAGAAATATATATGTATATATTATTTCATTACTGTGATGATCAGCCAATTTTCATCCAGAAAAAAAAAAATGTTCGTTGATTTCAGCATCAGAATGCCAATGATGGAATTAGGTTCTTGAAAAGTAAAATTACTGTGCTGACGAAGAAATTTCCACAAAGAAGGGATGGCAGTCAATATGCTTTGCAATGTAGTGACGCTAGATAGGCACAAATTGCAAAACACATTCTAGCAAAGACTGCATATTGGAAAGCTCCTTTCTAAATTAATAAAATAGGTGAGGATGGGCTTCTTCACAAGGTTTGGTAAATCACTAAACATAGAAATTTTCCACACTTGTTTTTTTTTGGGGGGGGGGGGTGGGAGCATCAACACGTTTTAAAACAGAACCTACTTCAAATAGCACAATGAGAAAACTAATAAGTATATTACATGCATATTAACTTTGATACCTGTTCAAGTGTCAGAGTGTCATGATCAATTAGGTCCTCAGGAAGAACAACCTTGTGAACTTGAGAGACATAAGCAAGAACCTGAGTCATAAAAAACCTTTAGTCAAGGATCTTGCTAAAGAAATTGCAGATTGGAAAGAAGAAAAAGGATAAAAGCACATAAGTCTAGCAGTGATAAGCTTGCTCTGATTGAATAACAGTTCTTTAAGTAGAACAAAAGCTGGCATAATGTTAAAAATTAAATTGATAGAGATGAAATATTATAAGAGACATCTAGAAAAACTAGCTCAAGCAAGTTCTGATCTGATATTCAGAAAATTATAATTTCAACAAGTGGAAATACATAAAGGAAGTAAGAAACAATAAAGAGGAAGAAAATATTAATAAAAAGAAAAATACCACTTCATTGTAACGAGCAATATAAGAAGATTCAAAACAAGGGCAGTCAGTAATGCAGCCATAAACATCAGTTCGTAATCACTAGCAACAGATGCTGCATGCCATTATGAGAGGAAATCATACTTTATTGTTATTGAACACTACTGACTGCATGCCATCTAGAATAATACATCACAGCTATAGCAGTTGTGCATGACACAACAAAGGAAACAATATATATAATATATGTGCCCCGATAGGGGCCTAAGGGGTCTTCCTAAGCTCCATGGTCAAACTTCTTGAGGCCTGTATCTTACATATCAGTCATAGTATAAGATAGTTCTAGATCATTTGTGGTGATTGCAATGAATGCTAGGGAATTACTAGAGTCCTTATCTTTATCCTAAATTCATTTCGTAGAGTGTCTGACTCCATTTACTGTCTTCTAAAATACAAAACAAAAATAAAACAATTTGCATGTGTAGCCAACTTAAAACATGACAAAAACAGAAAATTGAAAAGCACACACATGCCTGAATATATCCATCCCATGATGCACATCACAATAAAACACAAGTTTAACACTAGAACTACTCAATTACATAAACAGGCAACGCACCTCAGTTCCAGAAAACTCCTTAAGGATTTTCTTAGCAACAGCACCAGAAGCAACTCTTCCAATGGTTTCCCTTGCAGAAGATCTACCACCTCCCTTAAATGTGAGGAGGTCACAAGCATGAGCTTAATGAAAATTTCATGGAATAAAACATCTCACTCATCACTAAATTGACATAGAATGCCACTGCTGCCATGACATCCCATTACAAAACTTAGTACCTGCACTGATCGCACACCGTACTTCATATCATAAGTGGCATCTGCATGTGACGGTCTATAAGCTAATGACATCTCACTATAATCCTGACAATGAGATGATACAATGGGGGAAAAACTTCAAGCAGGGAAAAATACATTGAATATTACTTTGTGTGAACTTGTTAGTAATAATCATAGAACATTATTGCTACCATTACAAGTAAAAATGATTTATGAGGATTACAAAAGTTAACTGTCATAAATTTATCAAATATATATCTAAAATGATTTTGCTTAGTCACGTGCAGACAAGTGAGTGCCAGAGAAGAGTTTAATATGCTCTTCCATCTTATGAAAACTACTCTAGAAAGCTCTCAAATATTTCAATGATTGTACAACTAAAGCATACGGAAGAGTTTTCATATAATAGAAACTTTTCTATATGTTCGTCCACACAAGTTCCCAACCATCCAAAGTTTCTTTTATAAATTGAAATGCCATTATAAAAGGCCATTCACAGTGCATATGTCGAACACTCACTTAAAGTACAGAAGGGGGGGGAAGGCCCATAGCCTTTTTCCTTTTCATTATTAAATACTTCTCAAAGAAATATGAAATTAGCTTTAGCATTAGATACTCACATGTCCTCTCTGATCAGTGTTGGGAACAAATACATGAATTGGCGTTCCAGTAGTAACTCCTACAGTGCACACATTATCTTTCAGATAATTTACGTGTATCATGAACTTCTCAGTTAATGATGATTGGAATGAAGACTGACCTTCAGAAACTCCTGAAAATATTTTACACGTATCAGTCTCTTTTCTGGGAGTAGTAATTCGGCTCTGACCTGGCCTCCTATAAACAAAAAGTTGGTAAATTTATTAGTTAGAAGACATTTCGAATCACAAGAAAGCATAACCAATAATTACTCATTACTGCTAAATTCGCTATGCAGGAGAAGTATTAGTCAAAAAATCCAGTTGGCAAATACCTCCTATCAAGATCCACTTGCATGTCCGCTTCAGATAGTGGTAGACGAGGAGGGCATCCATCAATTACGCAACCAACACCTCCTCCATGAGATTCTCCATATGTTGTCACACGAAAATAATTTCCATAGGTACTACCTGCTGCCTGTATCTCTGTAATTATCACAGGCATCAGTACAAAATATTTTATATGATCCATCGAGTTTAGCATTTAACAATTCCACAAGTTCTGAAACTCTCATTTTCCGTAAATATGGAAGAAATTACGACAGTAACCAGGTAGGATACCTGGCATTGTTAATTATGTAAATCCTTCAAATTCATATATACAGCATTTCTTTTTCACGTTTTATGTAAAGTTTATAAAGCAATCACATATAGAAAAAAACTGTCACTAATGACAAAGCAACATGCGAATAAGCCCAAACTATCCTCACTTCAACTACTTACACTTTCAATTTTAAAAAAAAAAAAACAAGAAGAAGAAGAAAATACTGCGACGGGAATAAACAGATTCGAAAAATAAAAATCGAAATTTAAGATGGAGAGAAGAGAGGGAGAGAGAACTCACGCAGTCTCTTGGGAGTGCCAGGGCGAACAGAGATTTGAACCACGGCGGAGGAAAGATAACGGCCATCCGAATTGAAGGAAGAAAAAGCACCGGATAGGAATGGCTTGGAAGAGATGGAGGAAGCCATTAGATTATAGTGGATCAAAGGAGAGAGGAAGAAGATGAACGGGAGGAAGGAAGAGTAGAGGGAAAACAAGGTTGTTGAGAGGTTGAAGGGCAAAAGGTGTAATTATAGGAAAATCAGTTCTCACCTACCCTGCCTCAAGCAACTCGTCTGCCTGGCTCTGGTTTTTTTTTTTTAAATAATAATAATAATCTTTTAAAATATGTAAATAATAATTTAATCTCTCAACATGTCATAATTTTTTTAAAATTTTTAGTGACTTTTTTATCATTAATAAATTTATATAAATTATTAAATTATTTTATTAAAAATAAATGATTTATAAGTTTTGTTTTAATATGCACAACTTTTTTTTATATTTGCAATAATACAACAGTAAATAATGAATTAATACGTGAAGTTATGATTTGTTATTGTATTATTAATAATATAAAAAAATTATGAATATTTAAACAAAATTTGTGTATAATTTATTTTCAAGAAGGATAAATTGATAATTTATATAAATTCATTAATAATAGAAAATTTTCAAAGACTATAGAAGAATTATAATATTTTAAGAGATTAAATTATTATTTATATATTTTAAGAGATTTTATTGTCATTTTTTTCTTCTAAAAGTTGTGTGGGGTCCTATAAGCAATACTACTTAGTAAAAAATATTACATTTTTTTAGGTGAGATGGTAAAAACTGTAAGCATTTTGGATCTTTAGATTTATAATTAATGATTTTTAAGAAATATTCTCAACTAAAAGTCTAATTAATAAAATTATTTTAATACACATATCATAGTAAACAAAAATAAATATAAAATAAGAAAAATAATTAATTAATTTATTAAAAATATAATTTATTTAAATATTGAAGGGAGAAATCTTTTGGTTGGACTCAAATCCTAGATGCATGTCTAGCTTTTCTTCATTGAAATCGGCTCTATTCATAACTTTTATGTTTATACCTCCAACTCTTTCATCCCAAAATTTTGCTCTGTGACCAGATTCTCATTTCCACAAATTACAGTTTTCAGTTGCAACAAGTTTCATCTTTTTATGTTAATTTTCTTAAATTGCTAAAAAAAATTAAATATAATAAGCTCGTTATTTTTAAATTTATTTATACCCTTGCAATCCTTTCAATTTGGTATTATTCAAACAAAAGTAATTTTCTTTAAAAGTTTTTATTCTTGTTTCTCATTTTATTCCCTGCACCACCAAACCAGGAAGCCATTTAAAAAATAAAAAGGTCGGTTGACGTTATTAGAATTGATCATTAGCATGATCGCTGGTCAAAGTTGTGTGGTTCGGCTTTGTTAAGTTTTGGGTGGGTAGGTGAGGAGCTGCTATAACCTTCCATGTCATTTGGTTTGGTGGCCCAATAGCTTTTTGAGCATTTGGTATGCATAAATATGGTGGATGGCTAAATTATTTTAAAGTATAAGTATTCAATATTTTATTTATATTAAACTCGCTTACAAGGGCCAACGGGACAATTACGCATGACTCTTATTCTCATTAACCTTCATTTCAACAAAAATGCAACTTCTTTGCCAATGCCGTGATGGCATATGAGGATATGTGCATTAATATTAACATCCAAACTTGATTAATTATCAGAGTGTCATGATCAATTAAGTATACTGTGAACTTTAGAGACCGGACGAGAACATGAAATATTAGAAACCTTCAGCCAAGGATCTTGCTTAAGAAATTGAAAATTAGAAGGAATAAAGGAGAGAGAAGTGTTGAATCTAAATATCTCAATTCATATGTATAATAAAATATGATAGAATAAAGTAATTCATGCGTACCTGAAGAATCCATGAGTGCTAGAGAAATCTTGATTACCTCGAGTATGGGCAGGTACACAACCCTCAAGTCCCCAGAGCCTTCAGAGAGTTTAGAGATAATGGAAGTAGAAGAAAATGAGTCGTGTGTTTGTGGTTACCGACTAATCGTCTTATATAGATCAGATCGGTAACCGCCTTATTAATATAATTAAATAATTATATTATCTATTATCTCTGACTCAGTTAGTTAAGAGATAGGAAATAACTGACGGCTACTGAGTTGTGGGTTGGGCCTCTGCCCATTGGGCTCACTTGTGTGGTCCACCTATCATGGTCCACACAAGATCATAAGGACCAATTTATTGGGCTTATTAATTAATGCTAATTCATAAATAATATTCCAACAATCTCCCACTTGAATTGCATTAATTAAGCAAGTTGTATAAACAAGCCACAAACAAATTCAGAAAATGAAACTCCACAAAATCACTGAATCCTATGGGGAAACAAGTGATATGATATCTTATAATCTGAGTAAAATATGAAATTTTATTTCAAACACAGCTCAGTAAGATAACAACATAAATCACTGATTCCTATGGGGAAACAAGTGACATGCATAGCGTACCACAACAGAATCATTGAATCCTATAGGGATACAAATGATATAGACGCATCTAATTGAACTGAACATAACTCACAGAAGAAAACAAAGCCTAAAGAGAAATTGCAACAAAGAAGGTTCTCAAACTCTCACTAAACTAGGGCATCAAAGGAATTCATAATACCCATACAAGTTACATGATTTTGAAAAACTTCTACAGGTAAGCCCTTAGTCAGCGGATCTGCAAGCATCTGCGTGCCAGGAATGTGTACCACACGGGTTTGAGACTCAGCAATTTTCTCTTTCACAAACATAAGTTTGATATCAAAATGCTTTGTATGACTGGAATTTCTGTGATTGTTAGCATAGTATACTGCAGATTTGTTATCACAATAAATGGTTAGAGGACGTGATATTGACTCAACTAGGTGCATGCCAGATATCAACTTCCTCAGCCATATAGCGTGACGTGTAGTCTCAAAGCAAGCAATATACTCAGCTTCCATAGATGAAACTGCCGTAAGTGTCTGTTTCACACTCTTCCAAGAGACAGCTCCTCCAGACAACATGAAAATATAGCCAGTCGTGGATTTACGATCATCTAGACAAGAGGCAAAATCTGAATCTGAAAAGCCAACAATCTCAAGATCTTCTGATCCCTTAAATTCATAATCAGAATACCCAACAATCTCAAGGGAATTTGACCTTCTGTAAGTCAACATATAATTCTTTGTACCTTGAAGATACCTCATAACTTTCTTAGCAGCCTTCCAATGATCCGGACCTGGATCATTTAAGTATCGACCCAGCACTCCAATAGCAAAGGCTATATCTGGTCGAGTACACACTTGAACATACATAAGGCTGCCGACAGCGAAAGCGTATGGTATCTTTCTCATTTCAACCCTCTTCTTATCATCTTGGGACACTGTGACTTTGACAACAGCTCACCTTTCTGTACAGGAGCAGGTGAAGAAGAACATGAATCCATTTTGAATCTCTTAAGTACCCGCTCAATATAAGTGGCCTGTGATAAACCAAGAATACCACGAAATCTATCACGATGAATTTGTATCCCAAGAACAAAGGAGGCTTCACCCATATCCTTCATGTCAAAATGACAAGACAATAGGTGCTTTATCTCATTGAGGAAATTTATTGAATTGCTGGCTAATAAGATATCATCAACATAGAGAACAAGAATGACAAAATTGTTCCCATCAAACTTCTGATAGATGCACTGATCTGAGACATTCTCAACAAAATCGAGAGAGGTGATAACTTCATCAAATTTCAGATACCATTGCCTAGAGGCTTGTTTCAGACCATAGATGGATCTCTTTAATCTGCACACTAGATGTTCTTTACCGGATTCAACAAAACCATCAGGTTGTGTCATGTAGACTTCTTCATACAAATCGCCATTCAAGAACGCAGTCTTGACATCCATCTGGTGAAGATTAAGATCAAGCTGTGCAACTAAAGCCATTACCACTCTAAAAGCATCTTTGGTGGATATCGGAGAGAAGGTTTCTGTGTAATCAATACCTTCTTTCTGGTTGTAGCCTTTAGCTACAAGTCTGGCTTTATATCTATCAATTTCACCCTTAGCTCCTCGTTTTGTTTTAAAGACCCACTTGCAACCCACTGGTTTAAACCCCTTTGGTAGCTCTACAAGCTCCTATACGTGATTGCGGTACATAGAGGCAATTTCTTCACTCATAGCCTCCAACCATTCAGAAGAATGCGAGCTAGAAATAGCCTCCTGGTAACACATTGGGTCTAAGCTATCAATAGCATCTGAATCAAATTCCTGCAAATATACCATGTAATCATCTGGAATAGCAGACCTGCGAACCCTTTGGACCGTCTCGGTTCAACAACTATGTCCCTATCACCCTCTAAAGGTGGTTCATCTTGAGCTTCATTCTGATCCACGGCATTATTTCTGTCAACATGAGGAGTTGTCAAGATAGGCATAGGCAAAATGCTACTTTCGTCATGCAAGGTAATATGCCTAAGCACAGATCTCCCACTGTCTAAGGCATCTTCAAAGAAGTAAGCTCGGTCAGATTCAATACCCTAGTAGTGTGATTTGGACAATAGAATCTGTACCCACGAGATCCGATGCAATAGCCAATAAAGAAACCATCAACAGTTTTAGCATCAAGCTTCATCTGTTGTGGATTGTAAGGTTTTACCTATGCTTTACAACCCCAAACTCGCATATGCTTCAGTGGAGGAGTCCTTCCAAAATACAACTCATATGGAGTCTTTGGAACTGACTTGCTAGGAACTTGATTCAAAATATAAACAGTAGTTTTGAGTGCATCACCCCACAAGAATTCTGGCAGTGAGGAGTGACTGATCATGCTCCTAACCATATCCATGAGAGTACGATTCCGCCTTTCTACAACCCCATTTTGCTGTGGGGTGCCAGATATAGTATACTGAGCTTCAATGCCATGCTCTTGAAGGTACAAAGCAAATGGCCCAGGGTTCCTGCCAGTCTCAGTATATCTCCTATAAAATTCTCCTCTTCTATCAGATCTCACACACTTGATCAACTTGCCAGATTTCAATTCGACTGCTGCTTTAAAAGTTTTGAATGTGTAACATCCCAATATAAATTTTAATAGTTAATTTGGGTCGATAGAAATTTAAAAAAAATAATTTAAAAAAAAATAATATTAT